ACTGCACCCATAAGTACTCACCCTAGGACCAATAGACCTAGGAGCCAACCTAAGGGAATGCCTTGGGGCCTGAGAGCCTACCCAAGGTCACCTTAGATCCATAAGGAATTACCAGCTTGATCTAAGTTGAACATCCATATTTCAGCCTACCCAGATAGTTTCCCAATAAAACATTTCAAATAGTAACCAGTAGTTCCATGATCCATACTTCAGGCATATTTCATTTTTCCAGTAAAACAAGTAACCAATAAATCATTATATTAATCAGTTAAAACATTCGTAAATCAACCAGATATCTATTTATAATTTTAATACAAATAAAATGGTCGGTAGCATATAGGGAACATACCAGAAGATTCAATTATTTTTCGGAGACAATTGATCGTTATCAGGAAGGAAAAACATATAACTTCTATAGATTGGACGAAATTTAGAATCGAGGTCCCTATAAAAAGGGTTCGTTCATTAGCAAATCTAATCAACATTCAGAAATTGATGTTTGAAAAATCATTTAAGATTCGAGTGTATTAAAAAGGTACTCATGAATCTATACATCATAATTATTAAAGATCTAGATATAACATGAGTATTTCCATTTTTCAGGAAAATAGGGGTATTCCATACATTTTAATTTCTGATGGATTCTTAGTAACTTAATCCAATAAGGGTAAAAATAGTTTGTATTATTCTAAATTTATATCGAATTATCATGATTTGGAGTCAAAACGTGCTAACCAATCTCCACCCTGAAAAACTTGCCAATAATTCAGACTGATATACTTCACGAATAATCACTTCTTAATATTTATTACACTCGTTGAACTGGTTATTTTCATAATCACCACTGAACGGAACTAGAGGAGACGATCAGGTATTCGATGGTATTATATATTTTTGTGATGTATCAGTATCAAGAATACTCAGCATACTTGAGTTAGGCTTCATAACCTTTAGGGATGATACAACATTTAAGTTTATTGGTGTTTCTAGAATTTATCCAAATACATTTACTTATTCTAAGTCGTTAGGATATTTAGGTCACTTCAACATTCGAGGTTACTTTACTCATCTTTGAGTTCAAGGTATTCTAATCCTTTTGGGGTTTAGGGGTATTTCAATCATTTGAATATCATAGGTTATTTTAGTTATTTCGTATCTCAATGAAATTTCGATAATTCTTTTCAATCCAAACATATACACTTCTTCTAGTAATTCAGTCTAGTATGTCCTTTCTGGATTATTTTTCACTTTCAGGGGTAATCTTGATCTTTTTATAGTACAAGAGCATTTTTATAAATTTACTCCATAGATCTATTTTTGTAATTTCTTAACCAAATATTCTCGGCATTTAACCCTTAAAGAAATTAATAAGAAATTTGGATCCTAAGTCAATTTATTTACTAACTAGTCCATGAACTTAGAATTATTTCTGATCGGTCTACCAATTTCTTTTGTGAGCCGTCTGAGTCTTATAAAGTGTTATGCCTTTATTCCATATTCAGTTTGAGTCTAGTGAAAATTAAATACACCTAATTGACCAATAATTTTCATTCATGCATTTACCAATTATCAATGAGTTTCGAAAAACATACAAAAAGTAGTAGATTATTACCTCTTTTTACGAGCCACATCGATTAACAAATTAAACTCCACTTTATCACTCTTAAAATTTAATTCCACATTCCATAACGTCTCGGATACATGGCAAAACCAATTACATTAGAAATAGAAGTTAAACGTGAAAATTTGCATTGAATCGAGAGATAAAATGTCGAAAAATAGCTTATCGAGTTTGAATTTGGAAAAACGAACTTCATATTCGGAATCGGGACCTCGAAAAACATACAATATGATTTTTTTAAAAAAATTTAAATTTTTGATCAAAGTCAAAGTCAAAGTCAATGGTCAACTCTGGTCAAAGTCAATGGTCAGTCAAAGTCAATGGGTTGACTCAACTCAACCCAGTTTGGTATGACTGGATCGGTTCCATAAGGCTCCTGGACCGACGAACGAATCCCACGTGCACTGTCGGCGCGTGGCAACATGTGCGGTAGCGACGGGGGTCGATTTGGACGATCGAACGTTCACGATCAATTACACACTTGAATTTAGCCAAAATTAATCCAAATTTACAGCAAAATACGCCAAAGTTATCGGAAATCGATCGGGAACTTACCCCGACGGTAAATGGCAGAAAATTGGCTTCAACACGGAGACTCACCGGTTGGGTTTCGAGCGCACGATAATGGTAAATCCAACTATGGTGGCGGTGATGCGAGTGGTTGCTAGATCAGTAGTAATCGAGTGAAAATCGAGCAGTGTAATTTGGGGTTTTCGACGAGGCTTTAACGACTTTTATACGACGATCGACAACACCTATCGAAGCGGGGTTGGAGGGGTTTTGGTCGGAGCAAAGTGGCAGTCACGGTGGGGGTGGTGGAACTCTCCAAAGTTGCTTGGACGGGGGCTAGGGTTAGGTTGGGAAATTGGGGGGTTTCAATTTGGAGATTTTGGGGATTTAAATTCCGAGCTTTAAGCATTAACATATATATTTAATTAAAATGTTAGTAACAATGCCTAGCCTAGATGGTAGAGGCATGGATGGCCTTATCCGGGGACACGAGTTTGACACCTTGCAGCACCAATTTCATTTTTTTTTCTTCTATGTCAACAAAAAATGAGTAAATTCAAGGTTAGGTCCCTAAATTTCCCTTAACATCCTTAAACGGCATGCAAGTTCTGAAAACTTGTAATTTGATCTCTAATTTCATTAAATTAATTCTTTTATTTTTTATTTCAAAATTGGGTTGTGACACGCAGCCTAAAATATTAATAGTATGGGTTAACTACATGGTTGATCACTTATCTTTTAGTTTTGTCCACTTTTGGTAACTGATTTCAAAATGCATAAGATATGATCACTTACATTTTTATTTAATTAAGATATGGTCACTTTCATTTTTATTTAATTAAGATGTGGTCACCCCGAGTTAATTGCCCTTAACAACAATTTCATTTTTTATTTTTTTTCCTTGTCGATAGAAAATAAGTAAATTCAAGGCTAGATCCCTGAATTTACACATGCAAGTTCTGAAAACTTGCAATTTAATCCCTAATTTCATTAAATTAATTCTTTTATTTTTTATTTCAAACACAACCTAAAATATTAATAGTATGGGTTAACTACACGGTTGATCACTTATCTTTTAGTTTTGTTCACTTTTGGTAATTGATTTCAAAATACATAAGATATGATCACTTATATTTTTATTTAATTAAGATATGGTCACTTTCATTTTTATTTAATTAAGATGTGGTCACCCCAAGTTAATTTCCCTTAACAACAATTAAATATTTTTATATAATTACACAGTTGGTCCTTATTATTACATATTCTCTCAATTTAGTCATACTTTTAATAAATTAAAATAAATTTAATCATCCAATCGAACAATGACAAATGTCATGCCAGTAAGGTTGTTCAAAAATACTCGACCCGGTTGAGTTGACTCGTCAACCCGTTGACCCAGTCAAAAAATATCGAGTATTTATAATAAAAATACCTGATTTTTTTGGTCGGGTACCCGACCAGGTTTCTGGGTCGAGCATGGGTCACAAAATGTTGGTTAACCAGGTACCCTCTGACCCGATACTCGATTTATTATATATTTTCATTTTTATTTTATATTAAATTGTTATTCATAATCCTCAAATTATTTCATTCTAACATTCTAAAATCCTAATTTCTTAAATTTTGACACCTAACGTTCTAAATTCTTAATTTCTTAAATTATTTCACATTAACATTCTAAATTATTTTGTAAAATATTTATTTTAACTTCAAAACATTTGAAATTTAATTATATTTCTTTATCTTAAATTTTATTTCAATTATGTAATTTGAACTTTATGTGTGGATTATATATATTATAGCTTTTTAAATTTTAGATTTTTTTTATATAATTTTTTAAAAATAATATAATTTAAATAAAAAAAATATAAACGGGGTACCCTTGACCCGAATTATATATAATATAATTTTATATATATTAACTTAAAATATTTTTATATTAACTTATTAAATAATTTTACTATTAACTTAATTTAAAAATATATAATTTATTTTACTTTATTAAAAGTATCACTAAATTGAAAGAATATGTAAACAATAGGGATCAAATGTGTGAATATATTAAAATATTTAACTGCTGTTAACAACTGTTAGCTCCGGGTGACCAAATCTTGTTTAAATAAAAACTTTGGTGACTATATCCTATGAATTTTGAAATCAGTGATCAAAAGTGTACAAAACTAAAAGATAAGTGACTAACATGTAGTTAACCCTAATAGTATTTGTAATATTTACTGTTTATAACTCATTTTTTATCATGTATAATATTTTAGTGCAACCTGTTATGTTACTTTGACAAATAACTTTTCCAATTCTAATTTATAACATTGTATATAGTACTTTTAATTTGTAACTTTTTTTACCAGTCAAAATTTTTTTTATTTGTCAAATAGTTTCTTCTATATAATCAGAAAGATTATATATATATATATATATATATATATATATATATATATGTGGACAGAGAAAAACTATATCTATGAGAAATATTTATTTAAATTTAGTCTAATTATAATTTTAGTGTCAACAGTGATATTATATTAGGATTAAATATTTATAATATTTATTTAAATATATATAATTGTTATCAACAATTCATATAATAGAATAAAATATTTGATGTTTTAAATAAGATTAGAAATTTAAGTTTTAATATTAATATAAAACATAATCGAGAAAAACACCCTTATAATAGGTTTATATAATATCTGATCTAGATTAATTAATCTATCCAAAACTTACACTACTCTGAATAAGATATATATCATCCAACAAGAATTAAGATTGAATAAGAAACACTATTTATTTATATATAAAAAAAAATAACACATTATGAGAAAACATCAACTTTCAAATCATTGAGGATTGCAAAATACGAATAAAAAACAATTGTATTATTTTCTCCACAAATCTTTCCATTAGGCTTAATAATAGGGCATATTGGTGCAAAGGTGCAAAGATGCAAAAGTATGCGATAGCTCTTCGAGAGCGAGCAAACTCTGCTCGAGTAACAAACAGTACTACAACAACAACCTCTGCTACATTCTATGTTTACTATAGCTGCCGCGTTCCTGTTCCCGTTCTCTTGACCCTCTTGAGTGCCGTGGTTCCTCTTCATGCTTAGCTGATGGTAGCAGCGATGACTCGTGCCTTGACGGCTTCCTTTTGAAATGTCTATCATCATCACTCGACTCATAATCTACAGCATTGCTACTACTGCTCTTCCTCCCACCGCCACTAGTAGTAGAAACTGCCTTGGCAGATACCGAAGACGACTTGTAATCGTATCCATTGGAGGATGGTTTGTGATGGCCAGAAGATGCCAGTGCATCAGAAGATATCTTCTGTTTCTTCATGCTAATTTCTTCTTCTGGAAAGCTAATGCGAGAAAACACGCTTGGCTTTGACTTCTTATCCATTTCTGTAGTAGTCGTGGAAGTTAATTTGGGTGCTGGTTCAGGTGCAAGCCTGGTAGACTCAGAGCGACGATGATGATGATGATGATGGAGATAGCGATCATGACCATGGTCACGATCATCATAGTTACGGTCATAATCACAATCAAGATCATGATGCTGATCAGCTTTCCTCTTTGAAGGACGTGGAGGTGGTGCTTCACAGTCCCGTAAGGAACGTTCTGGTGAGGTCCTCTCTGATCGGTAACGATGATGTTCGTGCCGATGATCACCGCCTGACATTTGGGGAATAGGCTTCTGTAACAAACAGACATCATAGAAACGATGCATCATTAACGGATCATCTAATTTCTCATGTCAATAACAAGAAATACAAGGCTTAAACTGTGCAACTTTGACCATAAAAAATTTCTGAGTGAAAAACCAAGAAAATGGAGAAACTTCAAAGTAGGCCTGAGTTAAAACAGCCAGTCAGAAAGTTGCAATTTTTATACACTTCCTTTTTTTTTTTTTGATAGAATAGTGGCCTCATTAAAAAAAACCCTTCTAATCCTCCATGTTATGTGAGTAACATGAAGGATTAAGGAAGAAGGAAAAGAGTGCCTAGAAAATTTTATTCATAAAAACAATAATACATAGGTAGAGCCTAACAGACTCCAAAACCTCCAAATGAAGAACATAAGACTTAACTCCAAAACCTTACAACACAGAATATAACATTTCCTACAAAACAACATAACCAATATAAAACAAGAATCACCCTATCCCATCTTTAGCTAGTTTATCAGCTTCCCAGTTTGCCGCTCTCAAAATATGCTTTATAATAATATCCTTTCATGAATTCTCAATATCAATAAACGGAACCATGAGTTCATAACAAAAAATAAAAGCATAAAAACAGAAAAAGCACCAATAAACAATCAGTGAATCCCATTTACCGAAACTTAAAGAACTAAAATAAAATAAAATCTTATATCCCTACGTTACTACAAGACTTAGTGCATCCTAGACAATTGGTTCCCAACAATCATGTAGCATACCTCCTCGCATGACAAACAACAAGAATTAAACAAAGCTGGGGGGAAAAAGAACACATACAGATTTTGACTTCAATGATGAAACATCAGCACTGCTGCTCACTTCCCTAACAAATTCCCGATCTCTAGAGAACTCCCTGTAATAATTTTAGAAATTGTAAGTAAACCATTTCATTCCAAGAATCCATCCCTGTAAATACTAAGATATTAACACGTACAGGAAGCCCTTTTCCAGGATTTCAGGACTCACATGCACATTGTCCCAAGGAGTTAGCCAAAAGAATTACTAGGAATTATTCCAAGGTCAATGGAAAGTATAAACCAATTGAATAACAATAATGTACGTAGCAAATTTATGTTCAGTACCTTTCACCTCGTCTCTCATTTTCACGCTTCCTCCTCAAAGCAGCTTGCCTAGCCTCAAATTCCTCTCTGCTCATGATAGGTGGGGCAACATTCATACCCATGCCAAACTCGGCAAGATCTCTACAAACCATTAAATTCAAAAAATCAAAGATGTCCAGACTCCAGATATCAGCATTAGTTCATTACATAAGAAATCAAAAGATGCATAATCCAATATTTAAAAAAAAAAAATAGACAGAAATGCCATGCACAGGCTAGGAATACACACAACTGGCATAAACATAGGCTATTTAACAAATGTTACACATACCTCATAGGTGGGACGGGAGGAAACATATAATTTTGAGCACCAAAAGGATCTGGTGGCATGACACCTCCGAATGGCATGTCCATTGGACCTAGTCCATACCCACTCATATACGGCATCACTCCAGCATAAGGACCCATAAATCCATCCATCCCAGGCTGCATACCAGTCCAGTAAGGATTATAGGCAGAAGGACCCATAGACATCATATAATTCTCAGCTGCAAGATCCTGAGGGGTTTTCCACTGCAAGTCTGGAGTGGGACAAATAAGATTCAGGTTACAAAACTCAGATATAGTTTAAACCATCATCAAATACAAAATAGTGGCTGAAAACCTACCATTTACTGGCAAACGAACCTTCTTTTTCTTTTTCCTTCCTGGAGAAGAAAAGGATCAATTAAACCAATGATCCATTTATTTTTCCTCATTTCCACTAAAGAAAAAATAATACTTACTCTCACTATAATACACACACAATATAAATCCTACTCAGAGTGCAAGATGGAACAGGACAGATGACAAAAAGATTTAGTGCATGAACAATGTAAGTTCTTAACAGACACATTTGAGAATTTCTTTAAAAATTATGACATCATAAATAGATCTCAGCCACAAGCTTTCAAGAACGGGAATGATCCTGAGGTTGACAAGGAATGAGATAGCCCAACTCCAGACATTTCCACACAGGTTTAACCCCAAAATCTCACCGCTCCCGCAACGAGATCAGTAACAAACTAACAATGTCCTTAAAGGTTGTCTCCTAACTTGGCCAAACCAATATCACCAATAAATTAACAAATCAAAATTACCTGCCTCTCCAGAAGCCACCTTCTGTTGCACTTCTTCATCCAGAAGTGGGGCACTCCCTTGTGATGCAGGCTCCTTCACACTCATCGACTCCAGTGTAGCTTCAGAAGAATCAGCTAGTTTAGTAGTCTTCTCAAAGACCTGCTGTGGGGGAATAGCTTCCTTCATCTTATTAGCTTTATCCTTAACATCAAGACTTTCTTCCTCGGCAAATACTGGTTTCTGCTCTCCCTTAGATGCAGCAGATGCAGTAGGAGATGGAATTTTTGGTTGTGGACCCCTTGCAGATTCCATATCTAGATTTGAAAGACAGGACAAAACAATAAAGATTTGTGTATCATAGAAGTCAGTTGAATGTCAATTCATTTGATTGTCAGACAGTGACGAACCTTGAACTTGAAAAGTGCTTCCCGTATTGTCAGCACTGCTGTTACCAGACTCCAATATACGGTTAATTGTATCTCGTAAGGTCTTATTTGGAAGAAGATCATCAGCAAGTATGTTGGTTGCCCCACATACACACATTGACTTTGAGATAATATGGTCCCTTATACCTGAGTTATATTTTGTCAAAGTGAGCTTCAACATACATATACAAAACCATTCGACAGGGGAGCAAACCAAAAGATGCATGGGTTAAGCAGCAATAAAACTCACATTTATCACAAAAACTCGTAAAACAACATTTGCTAGTTAGAACAGCATCTTTCATTACTTCCTTGCACACTGGGCAGTGGAGTTCAGGTGGAAGGTCACCAACAGAACGAGTGGAAGGTAAGCCCTCAATTTCTTTCTCAAATGCAGCCCTATTGGAACAAAAAGTTGGTTTTCAAGCATAACAAATAAAATTACCCACAAGCATGAAACAAAACCACACTGATAAGACAAAACAGTTACTCGTTGGGTTTCAAAACAGCAACCGCTCCACTAGGTAATGCGTAAGAACCATCAGGAGTTGCCATTAGCATTGACTTCGGAATGCCAGTTGGAGGCTTCACCCTTTTAATATCATAGTTTGGATCACCATTTGTGGGGCAGTGCTGAATAAAATGCCCTGAATCACAAATTCAATAGCAACCACAGGTTCACTAAAATGTATAATCTAAGCAAATGAAAAAAGGAAAGTAAACCCAACATACCAGGCACCTTGCACCGGTGGCAAACATAGCCTTGAGGAGGCGTTTTGCGCTCCAATCCTAATCGATATCAATAAGAAAAACAAAAACTTCAGTCAAAATATTATTTGGAAGCACAGTTATAACAATCAAATGCCCCACAAAATTTCCAAAATAACTGATCTAAATGAGAATAACAACTATCACACTTTCAAGCATAAACATGTTTACACACAAAACTGCTATATGTTATGGCAACAAAAGAGAGAAAGTTCGGACTTTGATTAATCTGCAGAAGCATATACCACTGGCAAGATCACACTTAAATGATGCAACTATGGACAAAGCCAGCACAATCACACGCACTTATATGCGAGCGCGCACACACACACACTATATATATATAGGTAATCACAGAATGAATATCTCACACGCAAAAGCACAAGGCACACGAAACAAAATGATAAGCCACAGAAGACAATCAAACTTCAATATTCTAGAGATGTAAGTTAAAGTGAACATCCTATACAGAACCCCATGCCCCACTCACGAAGACGGATTGAGATCCAGTCCATTACTATTTTGTCCAAAACTATCCCATTCAATAATCATTATCATATATATGTGTAGGAACCACCTATGAATTGTAATCAGGCTTATGAATAATGATGAACGGTGATTAAGTTTATATTGGATTGTAATGGATAAAAAAGAATAATGGATGGTAACTTGAACCCACAAAGACACACAGCCATGATAAACGATGCAATGAAGGCAAAAAGGGCTCAAGAAAATTACCAAAACCACGCCCTCCCATCCTTCCACCCATACCCCTTCCAAAGCCTCTACCAGGTCCCAAGCCATCTGCACCTAGGCTGCAAATCCAAATAATTAAGAATGAAGATTGCATCAATAGAAGAAACAAAAAAGGAAAATAAAGAAATAGCATTCATCTCACCGCTGCCAATCTAAGGCAGGAGTATCTATTAAAGCCTTAATCTTGCTTTCCTCATCATCTATATTAGTAGGGGGAGCATCAGGAAGTGGATTGCTTGACTGGACTGGCAGCGTTTCAGGTATTGAATACAAATCGTTCCCAAATTCATCCCATTCTGAGTCTTCGGGCTACAAGTAAAAAATCAAAGCCCAACATGATAAATTCAATATTCATCAAAGGCAAAAAGACAACATTATTAGTGCAAACACAAGTCTATTTTCATCAAGGAAAAAATGTCAGAAGCAAAGCAATACATATTTTGGAACAGATGAATCAGCATCCAGGAAGCTGCTCATTTCTGGTTGAGCATTCTCAATCTGATTTGCCACATTAGGCCTGTGAAGCATAAAAAAAGTGCAAACCTAGAATCAGGTGTCCTCTCACAATAGTAGCCACCAAAAGTCAGAACCAAACTAAACACACAATTGATCAAGTTCATGCAGCTAACTGAACTTCTTGATACTTGTTATCTTAACAAGTTCACTAGAATTTAAATATTTTAAGTGAATAGGTATCTAAAGGATCGAGATAGTACTCTGGTGCAGTAACAATGGGCATGCGAGGCCTTCCAGGAACCCGGCGAATCAATACAGAAGTATTTTTGGGGATTAACATTACTTCATCTAGATATTCTGAAAATGAAAAGATAAAACAAGTCTATAAAAACTATAGAGATATGCTATTTCATCAACGGAAACAATTACTAAAATTTAGTCCTAACATCAAATCAAGAAACAAAGAGTGAGCCAATATAAACCCCAAGGGGATTTCCAACAAAATGGAAGATTTGGCTATACTCCTAACCCATATTTTTATGCCAGATTAAACGAAAAATAAGAATTCCAATGCATTGAGCAAAGACCGACCTTCATTAGTTTGGGCATTAGTGACAACGAGGTCAAAGTCTGTACCCCTGCCCAGGTGCTTTGATTCAAATATTTTTTCTTTCAAAGTACCAACGCTTATAAACGGACCATCCATGGAAATTGAATCAAAATCTCTTGCACTTTTAAATTTGTAATAAACAGCCATTTTTAACCTTGTTTCCTCTTAATAATAATAGTAGTAATAATATAATTTTTAAAAAAAACACACACACACACACAAAAGAAAATATGAACTTATTTCTTAGCCTTCCAAACAATAATAGGCCTGATATTCACTAAAAAACAAATATAAACAGTACAAAAGTTTTTTTTCTTATTCTATGAGAAACTGAACCAAACTCATCGATTCTTCTTCGGTGTAAATCCCGAAGCTCTGACATCAAAAAGTCAACCCTGAAAGCTTCTTCACGCTGTATTCCAGTAATCGAATCTTTCAGCTATACCAGCAGTTTAGGGAAAATCGTAGGGAATAATGCAAAATCCCCTTTCCTCTTAGATCGTCAAATTCGCACAAAATCTTCTATTATCGATTATTTTAGTAAAAGAACCGCTCCGAATCAATCAATCCACACGGCCCAGATCTTGTAAAACGCGAGCAAAACAAACCTTCAGGAAATAATCCTACGATAGATTGATCTTCAAAAGGAAACTCGGGAGCTTTGAGACTTGAGATTCTGATACTCCGAAACCGAAAATTATAACATTACAAGCTTACAAAAACGTAATCAAAGATCGGAAACTGAAATAGTTAGTGAACAGCGATCATCGTGAATCTCTAGGGTTATGACCTGGGTAAAGGGTTTCAAGAAAGCGGAAAAGGGAATTTGGGGAGAAGGTTATCGAGAAGCTATAACCGAATCTGGCCCTCCAACAAAAATAAATAAATAAATAAATAGATATTATCTACACTCTATAATTGACCGCCATATGCCCCGCACGTGCAGCTCTGGTGACAACCAGGGACGCAACTACGGGCCCTGGCCCACAATTGTGTGTGGATTAACTCTTTCTTAGGTCCTCTATTTTAAAGTTAGATAAACTGAGCCTTAAATCATTTTTTATTAATCAAATATTCTATTGTCGTTGGTCCTCGAACTGAAACCATTAAAAATAATAATAATTCATTTAATAAATTAGGTTATTTAGTGTATTCTGTGAATACATTTTTAATAAAATAAATAAAATAATATAATCATATAGTATTATTAAATTTTATTTCTTTCAATGCGTGATAATGTAATTTACTATATCATAATCTTTTTAGGTACTTTATATTCACATAAATTTTATTAAATAATCTTTTTAGGTACTTTATATCCATCTTATTTTGTATAATTTCATGTTTTAGTTAATTTTTTAATTATATAAATTTTATTATATTAATATATTTGTACCATATTGTGCTTTGTAGTACCATATATTTCAGCATATTAGATTTTTTTCTTATTAATAATTATTTATTATAATATACATGAACTATAAATATTTTATATTTCAGTACATATTATGTAATTTTCACTCATAAAAATGACCCGACAGGTGTCTAATTTCTGAACATAAGAATAAATGAATGGCAAATTCTAATAAATTTGCAATTTTATATTTAAAATCAATAACACTAAAACTAAAATAAAAATTCATTAAAATTAAACTAGAAGGACAAAACCCAATACGGTTCAAATTTAACTATAAAATAAAAGAAGAAATGAAATTAGGGTTTTCACTCAAAAACAAGAGTTGCATTTCTTTCCATAAAGTGAAGAGTGTAATCTACTTAATCTAAGTTTAATTAAAATGGTGGGGGAATAATAATAATTTGGTCAATGAAAATCAAAAAGGGAAAGACAATCTCACACATCGGTCAATATTAAGGAAGATACAATCACCGCATAGACTAGAAAAAAGAAAATGGCTATCTGAACGAAGAACTTTGGGTTTTCTCTCATGTTGGGAGATGTAACCGCCCTGCAAAACCAGAATCTTAACCTGGTTAATAAAACCTTGTGGCTGGTGAAAATGGAGTAAAGAAAAGTTATGTAAAGTGAAATTATGATTCAGCAAGTAGCTTTTGTGGATGGTGCAACTGGATTTTACCTGGCGATTCGCTGTGAAAATCGATGAAACGGCAAACTTTGGATGAATACAATTCCGGGTCCTGTTAGAACAGCTGTAACCACATTGTCCCCCTGCAAGGTTGCATCGAAAGAACTACAAAACTTACATGGCCATACATGGCTGGGTTGCAATTAAATTTAACAAAGAGCAGGATTTTGGGAATAAACGTTGATCCAGATATTATAAAGGATTGGGCTAATGTTATTGGTTGCTCGGTGGGTTCGTTTCCGTCCGAGTATCTTGGTTTACCTCTTGACGTTAGGAGGATTTCGGTGGCTATGTGGGAGTCGATTGTTCAAAGATTTTATAAAAAGCTGGCTGATTGGAAGGCGTCGTCTTTGTCCTTAGCCGGAAGGGTGGTATTGGTTAAATCAGTGGTGTGCTCTCCCAATCTACTTCTTTTCTATCTTCTGATTACTAGTATGTGTTTTGAACAAGTTGAACTCCATAACGGCTGCTTATCTATGGGGTGGTTCGACAGATGAGAGAAATATTCATTGGGTAAATTGGGTTTCGGTGTGTAGGCCTAGGAACTTGGGGGTTTAGGAATTCCTAACTTGGACAGCTGGACCTATTAAACAGAGCTCTTTTGGCGAAATTACTGGAAATTTGCCTGTGAAAAAGAATCGTGGCGGAAAAGGCTTGTGTGTTGTGTCAATAATTTGGATACGAATGCAAGTGTGGTAGATAGTTCGATTTCCTCTCGTGCTTCGTGGATTTGGAAAGGGGTGGTAAAAAATTTCTATTCAAGCGATGATTTTGGAGAAAGTCTTGGAAATAATATGCAATTAAGAGTCGGTAATAGTGAGTTTGTTTATTTTGGCATGACATTTGGTTGGATTCGATTCCATTAAAAGATCGGTTTCCGAGGTTATTCGCTCTCTCGGTTAACAAAAGGGGCAGAGTTGTTGATTTCAGGAAAAATACTTCGTCGGGGTGGTTTTGGGACTTACAAATGAGAAGGAACCTTGCTGATTAGGAGTTGGACCAATAGCTCGTGCCTAATTCGATGTTGAGTAACTTTTTATTGTCGCCTTCGGTGGAGGACTGCTGGGTTTGGACAAGGAATAGGGAGGGTTGTTTTTCAGCTATGTCGTGTATTAGGAAATTATTAGGAAATTTTTTGAGTTTTTTTTTATAGGAATTATAGGCCTCATTAACCCCCTTCTTGATTAATGGATCTTTTGGGAAAGTTCCTTAATCAGCGGAGGGAGGAAAAGAGTGCCTTAGGATTTTATTGATCAATGGCACAGAACATAATATACAACCAGAAGACAGACTAACAAAACCATAAAATTTACAAAACACTTAAACAAACCCCCTATACAACCAGACCTCTCATAAACAATAGCAAAACTATCACAGTTCCAACAACCTCAATAAAACAAGACCCTACTGAAAACCCTCTAAGGCAATTATAAATATTCATCCAATTCCCTGTTTAGCTAAAGTGTCAGCCTCACAATTGTTGCTCCTCGGAATAAGTCTTACAATGATCTCCCTCTCCAAGATTAGGGAAGCAATTTTTTGAACCAACGACCTAAGAAACCGAGGAGATGATGTCGGCAGCAAAATCCAATCCACCACTGACTTACAATCACTCTCAATAATTAACCTTCCTTTCATCGCCCATTCCGACGAGAGAAAGAAGTCTATGCCTTTCTCAATGGCTTTCAGCTCAGCAAGTGGAAGAGGACCTGGACCAACAGCGTGCGAGAAAGACCCAAGAATTTTCCTTTCCGAGTCTCTTAAAATGCCCCCAATTCCCCCCAGCAGCCCATCCCCACTAATTGCCCCATCAACGTTAACTTTGAAAAAATGAAGTGGAGGAGGAAGCCATCCCTGAACCTTATTCCTTTTAGGTTCCCTAGTCTGATGCTTGTCAGCAAGTGTAGGGTCCCCAACAAGAGAGTCCACCTGAATGATAACGTTCGGGTACTTAGCTAGGAACCATTTAACCAATCTAAATATGCATATGAAGAAAAGAGAAGGTCTATCCAGTTTCCAATCATCAAAAACCACCAAGTTTCTAGCCTTCCATAATGACCACATAACTACCCCCGGTATAAAGCTCCATATTATTGACTTTGGCCTTAAGTCCGACCATGAAGACAACAAAGAAACTGGATCTTTAGGCAAAACTGACGAGACTCCCCATAACCTCCAAAAACTGCTCCATAGGTCCCATGCAACCAGACACGATATGAACAAATGCTGAACTGTTTCCTCCTGTTTCGCACACAACGGACAAGAGACCTCCTCCAAAGTAACACCTCTCCTTATCAACTCCGTTCTAACTGCCAGTCTTAGATGAGAAACCTGCCAGAGAAAAGTTTCAACTCTAGGCGGAGCCAAACCTGACCAAATGAACCTTTTCCAACTGAAGCTACCCCCTGAGTTGGAAGAAAGGGTCAACCTGCAAGCTTTAGCGGTGAACAATCCATCTCCCTTCCCCGACCACGCCAGAAAATCATCCACCGAATCAGACAAACCAGCATTCTCCAGTAATGACATCAATCGGATCCAGTAATCCATCTCCCAATCACATAGATTTCTTCTCGTTTGAATGTTCCAAATCCATTTATTACTCATGAAACTGCCAAACTCTGAAACTTTTCCCCACTTATTGTTAGAAAGAGCATAAATACTTGGAAATTGATTCTTTAAGGAATCCTCATTTAGCCACACATCATGCCAAAATACAATCGATTTTCCATTGCCTATTTGAATCTTCGAATGAGATCTCAAACCATTTCCAATTGCGTCCTCTGCCAAGTAGTTTTTTGTAATACCCTTCCATATCCAAGAATCCGAAGGAGAGACTACCTTGTTGAGGTCTAAAGACAGAATACTCACATTATGTTTACTACAAATCATGTTCTTCCAAAGTGTGTCTTTTTCATTTGCGAACTTCCATACCCATTTACCTAGCAGCACTCTGTTAGCGAAATTCAAATCCAGGATTCCCAAACCTCCCTCCTCTAAGGGTTGACAAACCCTTTTCCAGTTCACCCAGTAAATTCGGCGTTTTGAAGACCCTTCCCCCCACAAAAAGTTTGCCATAATAGAATTCAACTTCCTATAAACCTTACTCGGAATTCTGAAAATAGAGAGGAAGAAAATTGGCAAGGAGGATAGGGCTGATTTAATCAACACTAATCTGCCCGCCATAGATAGTGTTGAAGCTTTCCATCTGGATAATTTTTTGTTGAAACTTTGCATGACTGGCTCCCAAAGAGCCTCTGAGTTTCTTTTTGCACCTAATGGTAAACCTAAATACACTATTGGAAGAACCCCAACGGCACAACCAGTCTCCTTAGCCCATTCGTTTAATACCTCGTCATCCACATTAATTCCATACAAATTACTCTTCGACAAATTCAAATGGAGTCTAGTCATTATGCTAAAGATCCTCAAGACTCTCTTAATATTAAGAATGTAGGTAGATGAGTCTCGGCAAAACAAAATCAGATCGTCAGCAAACTGTAAATTTTTTGAGTTGTTGGTTGCTAATCCTATTTGGGTCATACAAGTTTGGTTAGGGGTAGCCCCGCCTCGAGTGGAAACTTTCATCTGGCAGGTTGTTCATCAAATATTAGCGGTTAAAGAGGAGTTGTTGAAGCATGGAGTCGCAGGGATCGTGGATCCACTTTATCGTTGTGTGGCAGGTTTTCAGAGTATGTTTCTCACTTTTGTGCATTGTGATGTGGTTTGGGGCTTATGGTCTAGATTTTTGAGCTTTTGGAACGTTTCCTTTGTTGTTCCAGGGATTCCAGCTGCTTTGATATCTGTTTGGGCAGATCTAGTTTCGCGCTTGACTATTTGGACTTTCATTCCAGGGGCGTTAATTTGGTCAGCTTGGAAGTGTACGAATGAGATTATTTTTGAGAAAGGAAAGTTGGGCTCTAAGTTGTTATTTTTTCTTGTAAGATATAGGATTGCAGCACATTTTGTAGCTAGATTTCCGGACTTGGTAATTCCTTTTGACATTTTAGCAGGCGATCCAAAAGTAGCAGATTCTGTTGTGAGTTCTAAGAAGGCCGGCTCTTCATTGGCGTGTTGGGTTCCTCCTTCGGGCTTCTTCAAAGTCAACATGGACGGTGCCATGGATAAAGGGTGGTCAAGAGGAGGTATTGGTGGTTTGCTTAGGGACAGTGACGGTGTGTTGCTGTGTTCATTCTCAAGGAGTGTTGGTCTTGGGCCTCCTATCCTTGCTGAATTATTGACTATTAAAAGGGGTATGCTTTTATTTATGGAGTCCGATTTTGATTCAAGGGGGAGGCTTATTGTAAAATTGGATTGTTCTACTACTTTGGAGTGGATCAAAAATTCAGGTTGCTGTACTCCATTGTTCGAGTCATTTGTGAAGGATATTGTTGCTTTAGTGGTAGAAAGGGATGTTATCATTAGGCATATTTTGAAATCCGCCAATTGGGAGAGGCGGATGGGTTGGCTAAAGTAGGAATTGGGTGATTCTTGTGTTTTCAGGTTTGGGTGATTATGTTAGGTTATGGGTGCTATGTTGGTTGTTTAAGTGTGGGTTTTTATGTTTAGGTCAGTTTTGTGCTGAGATGTATTCTGGCTGTTATTGTTTGTATTGTACTGGTATTGTACTTGGTATTATATTAATAAAATTTTGAGGCACTCTTTTCCTCCTTCCAATGTCCGTTAAACTACTTCTGTAGTTTGAAGGTTATAAAGGGGGTTTTTAACGAGGCCTCCTATTTTTATCAAAATGTAATCAATAATTTTGGTCATTAGAAAAATACCGTCAACAATAACTGAAAGCACACAATTGTAAAAAGAAAACAGATGCACCAGAACTCCTACTCGACCAATGTCTAACGAGAGGGTAAAAATAACAACTGAAAGCAGCTTACCCCAAAGACTGCTCTTCTTATTGGACCATTGTATTTGATTTGAACGTCGATGGAAGTAGTAAGGGCTACTATGCATGAGATATCAACTGCCAATACCTCCCCCACCTCAAGAATTTTCTGCACAACTAGCAAAAGAAAGAAGCCCACAGAATCCCAATGGTCAGTTTACCTATGAGTATAAATTTACAACTTCCATAAGAAAAACAGAACATGCTCTCTCGTGTCCTGTAACGTGCTATCTTTTGAACTCAAGCAAATCAAAAGGCAATAAAAGGATGTACAAAAGAAAAGATACATACCAGATCCACCAGCAAGAATAAATGCAAGCCCCTGACCCGATAACTTCTGTCTCAGAAATCCCTGCTATGCCAGTAACACATCCATCAAATACACAGAAACTGAAAAAGATCTTTGAACACAGGAAGTGTATGAATCTAAGAGAAGAGAAACTGATAAAAAATAATATATCATTATGTCACCTCTACACTGGTTACAATATTCCGTGGCCGCTGATCAACTGTATTATTAACCTTCACATCATTGATGGAGCAAAGAAATGCATCTGGCTACAAAACAAGCACAAGATGGCATAAAGATTCCAGCAAATGCAATGAAAAGCAAAGCTCAAATTTCAGCAAAAATGAATTTGCATGAAGAAGTCAGGTACCTGACATAAAATCACTCCACCAAACATTGCTAAATCGATCTGTCAAAATAAACATGAACCAGGAAAAACATATAACTCATAATTAGGGATAACAAAACGGAAATTTGGGATTACGAAGTATCAAACTTGACGTGTACTATAAATAGGTCTATAAATAACTGCTAAGAGTTTGAAACACAAACCGGAAGAACCCTTGCAAGAGAAGGTGCAGCAATGCCAACAAATCCATCATTTGGACCATTATTGCGAAGAGCAATACTAGTTACACTCTTCCCAAAAAGCCACTGCCACATGCCGGCCTCATTTTCTGGAACATAAGTATTTTCCATTTCAATGGACCCAGACATGAAGCACATGGAACCTGCATTTTGTTACATTCCACGTCAACTTTAGATGAATTAAAGTATACATGATAACAAACAATAACTAAAAGAATGCAGCAAGCCAATCATCTTATCGATTAAGCAGTTCTCCTTATTGAACTTCAGCAGAGTACCTAATGTGATCTTAACTATAAGAAAAAACTATAAGAATACACGTAGATAATTTAACTGATAGTAAAGTAACTTCTCCATTTTTGAACTTTTTGACACTTCTAGTCACTATTTGTACTACAAGATATTCTAGGCAATAGAAATATGTAGCATTCCAAATTGTAGAATATAGAGCTGAACTCCTAGCCTAGCAGCCAACAATTTTCTTATCATAATATCCAGAAAGCTTTATCATTCATAATTTTACCAAGAACAATAGCTTATGATCACAAAAATATACTAAAATTACAATGATTTACTGCATCGTGATAGCATCAAGACCATCTTCCTATACTAAAAAATAAAAGTATAGTAGCGTTAACCCAACCAAGGAATCCAATAGAAACCAAATAACCTACCGGGTTTTGCAATAACCTTTTCTTGTGGCTTCAGCATTATCTGGTAAATGAACCATCACCAAAATTAAACAACAAAGTTCCATAATCATCCGTAAGAGGTCATATGCTTAAATTAAAAGAAAATTCTTTGATAAAAACTGGGGAGTACCTGAACTATTTGAGCTTCACCACCCAATATCTGAAATGGGGTCACAGCATCTTGCTGACTCTGAATGATTTTATACCAACAAGAGATTAATATAAATATACACGCTGAAATATTTAAACTACACAGCATTATCATTCTAGTTTCATCAGGAAACTGTCCCCAATTTGGCATTCGAGCTAGCTACTCTCACTTTGATCACAGCAGTTTATACAAGTTTGTTCACAAATTGATTATAAACGGATCAATTTCAAGAAAAAAAAGGGAATCAAAGTCAACTCTATTTAAGGAAATCCCAATCAAAATTCTTCAACAATGAGAGATCAAATGCAAAAGTAGAGCCTAAATTCCATTAAATTTTCACGACACTTTTCCAAGAAGCAATACTAAATTTCCTTGTGATTTTACCCTCTTTTCCTCATGAAACAAGCAAAAATTCAGTGAAAGACTTGAGAGTACGAAGATTTTTTAAAAGAACGTTACCTGATAAACGTAGGGTTGAAAAGGAGTGGAAAAAAAGGGGGCGGCCATGGACGACGAGGTCTCGAATTTGAAGCTAAATTCTTCGATTTCGAGATTTAATCCGACTTCAACACTTTAATCACAAAAATTCATAAGGGAAATATAAAAACAAAAACCAAGGAAATTATTTTCTCTGCGTCTGTCCTTTATGAAAGTAGGCGATCTGGGAATTAAATAGGTAGAGATGTAAGTTACGTAATTAGCCTTTGAAACTTCTGACACCGTCGGATGAACTATTGCGGGACGAAAAATGTTACTTGGTGACTCTTTAGTCATTTTACATTTGATATTGTCGATATACGGTCTCTTGATGACATGGCGTCATATTATTGGTTGAAGTTTCAAGTCTATACGTGTTTGTTTTTCAATATAGCAAGAGAAGCTCCTCGCGTTCTCATAGCCGCGTCGGATTATCTATCTCATTTCTCCCCTCCCAACCTAAATTGAATTTAATTCAAATTTTATTTTGTTATATCTACCATGCATGTAATTTTTTTTAAAAAAAATCATATGTATGAATATTTATTTGTTGAATGATCGGAATAATGATTCTTATGTGTATTTATTAATTTTTATTCAATTTTAAGTAATAATTTTTAGGGTAAATTGTAAGAGTGACAACTGAACTATAGTTCTTTTTTATTTTAACCATCATTTTTTATTTTTTATTAATCAAGTCACTCAACTATTTAAATGCATTCAATCAAACCACTTATTGTTAATATTTAATGAAATTATTGACATTGACATTACAAATAATAAAATTTGTATAATTACACAGGCTTAATTCCCAAATAAGTGTCTAAACTATCATTTTTGTCAAATAAGTGGCTACAGTTTTTTGGCCCATCGAGGTGCTTAACGTTATAAACGTTACCCTTTTAGGTGTCCATGTCGTCAACACCGTTAGTTTTCCCCGTTAAGTGACACATGTCAACACCTGATAATTTTAAAAAATTTATATAAAATTAAAAAAAAAGATTATATATTTTTAAAAAAGAAGAAACATAAATTTCAAAATAACCCGTAAACTTTGAAAACTTTCATTTCAACCCCTAAACCCATGTTGATCGCTGCCTTTACCTTCAAAGAAGCTCCAACCGACCTCCCTTCCCCTCAGCGACCATAACCCCTATAAAATCATGACCAGTTGAAGATCAATCGACCACAAATCGACGTTTTAAATCTTGTGAACCCTAAGAAGAAAATCGTGATCACACATAATTTTGATGGTTAATCAGCGACAACTACGACGGCATATAACTAGGATGATGTCAATGACTACGTCGACAACAACAGTGGTGGCCAAAGAAGGCACTGGCGGTAGATTAAGCTTAGGATTTAGTATTTTAGGGTTGTTTTATAATACAAGAAAAGTTAATGTTTTTTATAAATATAATAATATTTTTTTACATAAAAAATCAAAATTATCAGGTGTTGACACGTGGTACTTAACGGGAAAACTAACGGCGTTGACGATCTGGGCACCTAAAAGTGTAATGTTTGTAACGTTAGGCGTCCAGATGAGTTAAAAAAACCGTGTACACTTATTTGGCAAAAAAAAAAGTATAGTTTGGGCACTTATTTGAGAATTAAGCCAATTTCACATATGGTCATTATTACTTATATATTCTATTAACTCGATCTTAATTTTAATAAATTAAAATAAATATAATATTCGAATCAGATCATACCACACGCCACTAGTACTGAATATCATCACACTTGTCATTTGATTGAAGGATTTAATTTATTTTAATTTAATATATTTATTTTTCATGGATTATAAAATGACGCGTGGTGGCAAAAATTTAAAGTTGCTTTAAAAGGGAAGTGTGGAAATCAAACATGGGTCTTGTTATTTGTTAAAACGTACCAATCATTAAACCAAGCAGATTATTTTGTTATATATTAGTTTTAACTTAAATTTACATATTAAATTAAATTAATATCTTAATATTAAAATATATATTTAATTTTTATCTTAACTTAAAATATATTTTATTATTATTTTAACTTAAAAATATATTTTAATTTTTTATTAACTTCAAAAATATAATTTATTCTTATCTAATATAAAAATTTAATAACAACTAAAATTAGTATAATTACATGTTCTAAAAGAACTTTTAAATATATGTAAAAAATACATAGTTTGAAATATAATATTTTCATCAATTAAGATGAATTCTCTTTTTCATAAAATCAAAATCATACGATCGAGGCAAAATAAATATTGAACAATTTTGATTGAGTAAAAATAACATATGAGAAATAGCTTTTAAATTTTTATTATAATCTTGTAGGTGATGTTGAAAAATTGCTAAACAAACCGCTAATAACACCACAAGTTCATAAGTAATTAATGAACAAAATAAAAATAAAGTATGAAAATTCAGAAAAAAGTAATAATTTTACACACAAAAAATCATTAACTTAAAAATTTCAGTTAAATATTCGATTACCTTCAGGATTTAAAAAGAAATCTTTGAATTTAAAAAGTACATAATGGATATAAATAAATAAGAAAGAGAGAGCAACACAATATATAAGTTACAAGAAGGTAGCTCTTAATTTAAGATTTATGCAGAGATAAAATTACAGTTAGATTTGAAATTAAATAAGACTCTAATTAATTTAATTTTGATTAAGTGGAGATATAATTAAAAAATTAATAAAAGTATATAATTATATTTTTTTCCTTTTGGCATTAAGGGGGCATGGCCTAGGTAGGTCTAGGCCTCCCTCCACCCCTGCGTGAATTTAAGTTAAAATGTGGAATACTATATAAAATATTAAAAATTTAAATTTAGATTAATATCGAAATATATATCATATGTAATCTATCTTAAACAAAATAATATGTTTGATTATTCAAAGGTTGGAAGGTTGAACACCTTGAAGACCTAAGCTTAAATTCCACACTCCCATTTTTCAGTAGCTTTAATTTTCTTTCTACTAAAGGATGATGTGTCATCCTCTGATTGGTGAAATATTAAAATAAATTAAATCCTTCAATCTGGTAACATCACGTGTCATGATATTTGGCACACGTGACACTCTAATTAGAAGATCAAACTTATTTTAGTTTATTAAAATTAAGACAAAATTGATATAATATATAAGTAACAATGACTTTATGTGTAATTATACCAATGTTATTAATTGTCACATCTATTCCTCCACTAAATGTTACCAAGTGGCATGATTAAATTTATTTAAATAGTTGGCTGACCTGACTTACAAAAATTCAAAAATGAGCTATAATTAAGTAATAACTTGTATAGTTTATCCTAATTTTTAATTATTTTATTTAATATATTATAAAAATCTTATCGGATTAATCATTCTTTTCATTAGTATAAGAGATTTGGAGTTAAAAATGTCATAGTAAACTTCATTGATACCAAAGCAAGCCGATGAAAATAGAACTCCAATGAGAAATAATGAACAACAAAGTAATGAAAGAATTGGACCCAAGGGAGAGAGGGAAGTATAAGCTTGGGAAGTGAAGAGAATACAAAGGGGTTTGAAAATTTTCTTTCTTTGCTTCACACACTGCTTTGAACACAAAAGAGTGGATCAAATCCAAAAAACTGGAAAAAAAAACATTTCTCCCTATTGTTGTGCCTGATTTATTTACAATATTAACGACACAATCCAAAAGCTTTCTTAACTACATTATATACAACAAACAAGAGCAACACCATCACCACCTTCTTGGAAGCCAACACCCTAAGATTTATCCTTAAACCATGTTTTCTCATTAATCTCGTTGTTGTTGTACCCATCATTAATAGCCATGAACCAATTAAGCAAACAAGAGTTTTAACGATCTCACCTGGTCTGCTCAGGTTTACTGCATCGCCTGGGAGATCCACATAGGACCACTTATGATCAACATCATTATCTTCTGGGCAGTTTAGGCCAAGGCTTTCGTTCAACCAACTGGATAACCAAATAAGCAACTTTGCAAGCCATGTAACCTCATCATCGGAGATTGGGCGCTTCATCCAGTCACCCCTGTATGTGACATTAGCTGAGGTTTGGTTGCCAACTCTTCTGGGTTTGAAGAGCTCATCGCGGATGTGTTGAGTCTGTCCCAGTTCAGGTGAAATTGGAATTGGTTTCACCATAGAGCCACCAAACAAGTAGCTCACCTTTTCTTTTAATGAATCTATTACTGCATGTGCCATATCATCACCTTGCAACTCGGCTTCTGCACGCAATATAAACAACTGCACGAACAAAATCATTGTCAACAGATGACAACAGGTATCGGGGTAGATTACATAAGATGCAATTGCAGCTTTACAATTACAAATATTAGAAGTTACAAAAACCTGAAGTAGTCGTTGTCCCCCATCTTCCCCATCACTAAAGAGTTTTAGATCTTTGTTCCAGTTCTCATGCAAGAAAGATCCATCAGCATCACTTTCACATAAACCATCCTCCCAATCCTAATGATGTCAGCCAAAGACGGTCAGACAATAGTGCAAATATGCTCCATTTCAAAAAAAAAAAATTGGAACGACCGAAGAACAACATCAGAAACTAATGGGAAACCATAAATTGAATTAAAAATAAAATAAAACCCACATAGATTGGAACTTCTACATGTGAACCCTTATTTGCTGAAATTGATAAGCAAAAGGAAAAGAGCATAGAGATCCAGTCAGTAATCTACCTTCAATTGTTCACGAATTGAAGGAACAAATCTATACAGGTCATTGAGGGCTGATTTGCTTGATCCACCTTGTTTAGAATGAAAAAGGCTATCTACATTCTTTATAAGATCAACCAGCTCTTTAGAGGATGTCAGCAAACTTATAACCTGTAAAACAAGAGAATGAAAAAGATCTTAGAAGAAAAATAGAAAATCAATAGAGATTAGCAGATAGCAATCTATCTTAAATCATAAGAAAACCTATGTACATACACCAACACTACCAAGTACCAAGTGCACAGTGTTGTCTACCTTATTTCAGCATTTAGCTCAATACTTCTCTTGTTATCTAATCCTTAACAACACAGTGTTGATAACCTATAAAAGGATACTCAACCATGATTGGAAATGATAGGAAGTTATACAATTACAATAAGACATCAACTGGATAACCTAAAGGCTAGTGCCCACATGAAATAACCATAGCTCCTAATATGGTATGGTACCCTCTATACATGACAATATCAGTGCTGTCAAGGTTTGGTCCTAGACATGTTGATCATTGCACCTTAGATCAGTTAGGGTGAGGCACATTTGATCGGGCACCCAGTGTGCCTATAAGAGCTTTTATTGTACAACCATAAGAAAGATTTGACAGAAAATTCACTTAATCAAAGTAAAAATGGCTACAGTTAAGAAGCAAACCTTCAATACCATCTGGACAATTACTTCGGGATCTGTATGAAGGAACTTGTGTGCAAACCCAACGAAATGCATAACCAGTGAACTGTAGTATAGAAAATTAGACAACACAAAGGCTTGCCACAATGGAGAATATCCAGAAATTTCAGTCTGTGTTTCCTGATTCCTCACATCCTTACTTGTTCCATTGACAACCGCATCAAGCTCTGCAAAATCATCCAAGCTGATTGTCCAAGGCTCCATATAACTAACCCATACGGAGAACACCTGGGATGTATTCTTTATTGAAGTTCCCACAGGAGAGAACAAGAATGTTCTCAATATAAACCTATACAAAGGCCTTTGTATCCAGGTGCTCCAAGAGCCAACGGAACCCACAGAAGGTGACAAGGAAACAAAGTCCCTTGGCGTCCCACTATCAAAACCACCAGAAACCCTCCAGCTTGGACTTCCATTATACTCAATATTGTCAAAACCATCCATAGTTATCACTGAGCTCAAATTCAAGTACTTCACAAACAACTTCACCACCTCACCCAGCCCACTTGTCGGTGGGCTCTCCCCCAACACTGACCTAAATGGAAACGACACACCAAATGATTTGCATACATTAACAGGCAATGGCGAAAAATCATTATCAACCAACCAATACTGCACGAAGACCTTGACCAAAAACTCGGCACGAAATATGACTGAACCATCACAGTTCAAAGTATGATTCAAAATTGAACTACGATAGGGTTGGTGAGCACCCAAATCAAATATAGGCACAAATGCACGAAGATAAGCAAATAAAAGCTGTACATAGAGATTACCCTCAAATTTTTGCTCCATTTCACGCTTAATTGACCCTGAAAACCCCGGAATTGAGCGTGTCCAGTTCTCTAACCTAAACTTTCTGCTTCTTTTTACTGAATTCAAGTCCAAGTTCTCGCCGTTTCCTTTACAAACGGGATAATAAGCGAACCAAAACAGGTAGTATTCAAAAACATTCAGTTGAATTTGACATAAAGAGCCCTGAACCGAATCTTCTTTGACTTTACCTTTAAAGAAAGGGCACAAATCGGAAATAACCCGGCAATATTTTTCGTTCGACAACATGAACCGGACCCACTCAGGGAGCCGTTCAACAGGGAAAACGTATTTGACGAGGGAAAGTCTATCAACGGCTGAAATTGAGTTCATCAGGGTTCCATTTGGGGAAAGGAGGGAGAATACTTTAGAGGATAAATCAGCGTGGTTAGACTGAGAGGCAAGTTCGATCCATCCATTGGACTGGGGAAGCTGGGGTTTCTGAGACGGTGGAGGTGGGGGTAGTGACGTGACGTCATCGAAGCCGAAGAGCTTGCAAATGAGTGTAGGGAAGGTGATGGAGAAGAAATGGCGGGACTGATCGGGTGTATGTGACTGTAGGAATGAATCAATGGAGGCGCAGGTGGCGGAGATCTGGGAGGGGGCGGTGGAGGCGATGATTGCGGAGGCGAGTTCTTGGGATCGGGAAAGGGAATTGACGGCGTAGGAGCGAGGGAGCATTATAAACTTCTACGGTAAACAAAAATGAAGAGGTTAGGGTTTTTGCTTTGCTAAGAAAAGAGATGCAGAGCCAGGGTTTTTGATTGACTTTTCTATTTCAAATCAAAGGGAGAAGGATATGTGGCGCATTTTTAAGGCATGTAACCCTTTGGATGGAGAAGTGACCGAACAATTCATTAATTTATTATCCTATGTAGTAAAGTTTTTTTTTCTCTCCCGACTTTTAAGATTTTTGTTTCGAATAATTCAGATAATACGGGTCGTATATTTAATTTTAATGAATGAGTATTTTAGTAAAAATTTTATGCATATTCAAATTTAAATTTTGTTTAAACGATAACAAGATGTTTATCACTTAAATTAATCTTATTAAATTAATAATGCACATAGATGTTATTAATTGAATTCAAGACATATAAGGAGAATAATATTTTTTTACTACTAAGATCATTTGATGGAGATTTAAATAATTATTAAATTATTTTAATTATTTTTTAATAAAAATATATATTGGAGTATATTTTAATATAAGCATAGGTTAAATATAATATATTTTTAATATATTGTTTAAATCCAAAAAAAGGAAAAATATATATTTTTGCCCCCTCTTACATTTTGTTCCTTTTTAACGATTTTATGTACATAGATATTAAATATTTTAGACTAAACTTTACTCAATTCTTTATAGGGTAAACTATATTGATGATCATTGAACTCTCTAAGATGATTTTATTTTGGCTACTAGCTTTTACAACTTCTAGTATAATTATTAAATACTTATTTTGCTTTCATCATTATCATTTTCGTTAAAAAATATTGGCGTGACAACGTTGAAATTTTCTTACTACAAAATTATAAGGTTTCAAATTTACAATCGTCATTAAGATCAAATTTTTAGTGAATAGAGCGATCGTTAATCGATTTCAATTATGAAAATGATACATCTGACTAAAAAATTAATATAATTTATGTTATAATAATTCGATGGTTGATAGTGATAGATCAAAATACTTTAACTTTTAATTTTAATTAGGATTTATTTGTAACTTGAAGATATTAAAAAAATCAATGAGTTTGAAATAAAGAAAAGAAAGAGAAAAAGAATAATAATAGTTTAATGATCTTTTCGTTTAGAGAGTCACCGAACGGCAATAAAAAGAAAGAGTTCAACATAAATCAAAAGTTAAAATTTTTTCGATCCCTTATTATTAATTATAAGATTAATTTAAAATTAAATTATGTTAATTTTTTAATTAAATGAAAAAATTTCACCATGAAAGTTAACCAACGATCACTTCATTTATGAATTTATTGAAAGAAACAATACTTGGAAGTTGCTTTGAATTCCAAAAACACTTAAATATATAACGGGCTTAGCAGGGTAACTACTCCACGCCACGATTTTAAGACTATAATATATCTAATGCCATAATCCAAAAGATCGTAGAAACAGACGGTTGCCTAGAGCAGTGAACCTGCCCTTCGTCTCTCGGGTGGTCAATATCTCATAACTTTATTCCTTAATGTCCTAATATACGTTTACTAAACGGCATGGTACTTCGTTCATCACAGTCTTGCAGTGCGGATATGCTGCTTCAATATCGGCCTAATGTACTCGAGGTAACCATCCGGCACGACCGTATCATTCAAAGGATCCTTCCATGCGTCCTGATAAAGTTTTTGATAGACGTTTCCGTCATAGCAGCCGAGGATCGAGCCAAGGTAGTGGTCAGTGTAATTGAATGCATCGACAAGTGCAATGGCATTTGGACGGACCTGAGAAGAAAATGAGACGAGAATTACTGGATTCACTGAAGCCTTTCAAAGCTGAGGGCCGTGTTAACTAAATCGGAGTATTGAAACAAACCTGAGCGAACAACAATCGCAGCTGTTCATTTGCTAGTGCACCTTGCTTCGGTGTAATGCAGCCGGTTGCAACGAAATCTCCGAGATGTTTGTGTAAAAGATGCAAAGCATATACATTGCAGAGGATCTCCAACTGTCTTTTCACTTCCTTTCCCGGTATGTCCTTTTGCAGTTTTTCAAGGAACCTGGGGTAAACAAAGGAACTATCTTAGAAAACTTTTCCGAAAACGAAAGAATAAGCGAGATTTCTTTCAACTTCCGTCAATAATTACTCAAAAAAGCCAACCAATCAACAATAGGAAAACTAGTATTAATTTTCTGACCATAACAATTGAGCGGATAAGACTCGAGAGGTTTACTTGGAAACAACAATTAGCTGACAATGAGCAAGTGCAGCCTCAAGCAAATCAGCTGAAAGTTCAGCAAAACCTGAAAAATAAAGAGAAAAGTGCAAGCACATCAAACATACAGACATCAACGACTTCAACAGAGAGGCTACTGCACAATCTTGGCGTCGAGGCATCGAACCTGTTTATTTTCTATCATAACAAAATTATGTTCATTGAAAATTCATCCAAGGTTTTAACTTACATGACTCACAGTATGACAAATTTTTGAAAGAGAGAACTTAGTTGGGTAACGCGTCAATAAAAAAATTACTGATAAAAGAGAACACTTGCTTCTCAATCTAGGTATAAAGGACATACCATCTTCTGGATTTGAAAATTTTGCGAGGCTTTTCGCACAGGTGACAGACATCCTCACAGCCCTCGCTTCAAATGCCTCCAATATGACACTTGGCTTTAGCCAGTCCTCAGCTGTGAACCAACACAAGGAATGGAATATTTTTATTTACTCAAACCGGTGATAATTGTCAATGAGTACAACCTAATGAGAGATCGGTAGCAAACAGTGTCATGTAGAAAAAAAGAAGATATAAAGGATATACCCTTTTCAACTTCACAACAGCATTGCATAAGGTGTTCTGCTCGTCCTATGTAAGCTGTAGTCCCAACAGGCTTCTTTCCCAACCCCAGCTGGGAAACCGTTTTCATAAGAAATCTTGCAACCTAAAGAAACGTTCCACTTAACATTGTCAATAAAAGGCACCCAGAAGCATTATCAACATGACATCAAAGAATTTTAGATTCATTCCCTATTTTATTCCTTTTTGTTCTTTACTATAGTTTCGTCTTGAGATTGTTTAAAATATCATAGAACACAAGAACCAGCTAATGTGAAATGGAATTTATCCCCTACCATCAAAAGAGCTAAATGAAGATGGTGTTATATTTCACATTTGCCATACCTGTAAAAGCAGCACGACATTGTCTCCTTCGTAAGTGCAAGTAGGTATATAAACTGCAAATAACTCTGGGAGACCACTGTTAGAGAGATACCCATGACCACCACATAATTTTCGGCATTCTTCAATTGCATCCTGCAACCATATTTATTTTACTCAAGCAAAAGCATCCAGAAAAAAATACATGTTATTGAGTCATTGACTTAATGACTTATTTTATATTGAATGCCATTTTTTTGAACGTATAGAAAGACTGTTTATGCTACCAAAATAGTGAGGCAATATTTTACAACATAACTAGCCAACAAGCATATAAGTTATTAAAGCTACAGCAAATTGATTAAGAGTGGTGAAGGTTGGTAAAAGTAACATACTGCAGTTACAGAAGTCGTCATAGATTTTAACCCCGCAGTACATGCATGAGACTCAGGTAATGTTGAGAAATCATTAGCTTGCAATCTTTGGGTCACATCAGTGTACAGCCACTTCAGCCACTCACCAACGAATCTGAAAGCATAGGCAGAAGCAAGCAAAGGAAAGAGTCTGCTTTGCTGAGTTTTATAGTCAATCACCTGAAACAAAATAAATAAATGAAAATTATTAGATCAGCGTTCACCACATGAAAAACTAATTCTGAAAATTCAGCGGCTGCAAATCAGATATTCTTCATAACATTTATTTGGAAGTTTCTATGGGAAAGAAAAAACATTAGAAGTGATCATAAAAGGTAGCCGTATACAGCAGCAACTCATACTTGAAACATATATATGTGTACAAGATCCAAAATAAGATACCTGGGTCTCCGGACCACCATTCTGAGAACCAAACTGCCTGCGGACAGCACTATACCTTGTTGCTATACAAACTGCTCTAGCTAAAGCACAAGAAGCATCAGATACAATTGTTTGTCGAACATATACCATAGTACCATAAACCAGCTGGCGGGGAACATCAGATTGCACAAATTTCCCTTCTTTTGTAACCTGTGAAACACTGAGACGTTTGGAGAGGAAAAAGAAAATCAAGCTTCAGAACAGAACATCTCTGTCCATTAAAATAATGCTATTATAAAAGTGGTGGTTCAACTCGGATTATAACTTTTTAGCATCTTCTGGGTGGTTTTATTCTATCGAGGAAAGAAATTTTCTAAGTTTTATATTTCTGAACTGTCTAAAACTTATATCGGGTTAACAGCTGTAGAAGAAAATTTTGCATCTTTCAAACATCACTTGAGACAACTGCTCATTACAGGAACCATCAAAGAAAACCTTATTCAGAAGATGCTTCCCTCCATACAATTCTAAACTTATAGGTTTCCATGCATTCTCTCCACAGGATGGGCAACCAGAGAAACATCAAATGACATGATATATTAGACTTCGGAAAAAAAATAAGAAGTCAAGATTGGCTAAGACATATAGAGATTAGAGGCATGGTTAGAGAACAAACCGCATTAGCATTTGGTTCCTTGGTATGCGCACATGATCAAATCTCAGAAGACCATTGTCCATGCTGTTATACGCTCCACTTCCAAATTTCATTCCAATATCACCAACTGTTATGCCTGGAAGAGGCAAGTGATCATCCAAACTACGAAGCTGGACAATAAAACCTGAAAAATGGAATTCTTGAATTAATATATGAAATACCAGCTAAATCGTTGGATTTATGAATTTAGAACTTACCATGCACTCCATGGTCCTGTCCACTCGTTATAAGACGAGCATAGACCACAGCATGTGTGGATACTTTACCCAATCCACCAGGCCACCACTAGAAATGACAAAAGACCAATTAGAGAGTGATAAGTCAAGACAATACAGAGAGATCAATATAAGATTAAAACCTTTCACAAATGATTTAAAGAGCCAACAAGAAAACAATGCATTGCACACAAGAAAAACAGAAGAGGACTAGAGGGTGTCTCGGCCAAAAATCATTGAGAGAACAATAGAAGAACCTCTAGTGATAAAGTGCTTGAATGATGTGGCTAATCAATGACAAATAAAGAATTGGTTAAAGGCTCACTTTGCTTGAAGTCAATGTCGGACTATGAATGTCAAATTCATCAGTCTGAGGATCAAATGTTGCAGTAGTCTCAAGCCCTTGGACATTGGAGCCATGACCAAGTTCAGTTTGTGCATAGCATCCAATTATTTGCATCTTATATGCCATTGGCAGCCACTTCTCCTGCTGCTCATTAGTTCCTTGTCCTTTGATAGCAGGAATAAACATTCCCTATAAAGAAAATATACACTAGTAGGTTAAAAAACTTCCAATCCCTTTTCCCAAGTATTCAAAACCTGATATGAGCACAAAAGAGACCATCATTTAATATTATACTTGGCAAACTAATTAAGTTAATCAGTGTATGTGTTTTTCCAAACATTTATAATCTACTTAGCATTTTATGTGGCATATATAGTTCTTGAAATTTTGTGAAGCATAGAAACAGGAAAAGAAAAACAGAACGTACCCAGTGCAGATCTGTGAAAGCAGGTTGATCCACATATGACCTTAACATATTGGATTCTTCTTCTGTTATAAGAAGATTTTTATATTAATCAGACAGATAAGTGAAAAATCAATTTAGAGGGAGAGATCAAGTTGAAGACAAACCCGAGAGATGAAGGTCAATTATCCGCTTCCATGCATGTGCAGCTTTTCTCAAAGTATCTTTAAACAAGTCCTTCCTAGTTAGCATAGTTCTGTTATCCTTTCGAAAGACCTTAAGAAAATTGCAGTATGATTACTTAATTATTAAAGAATAAGATTAAAACTCCAAAATGAAAACTGAATCTAATCCTTTAGTTTAGGATAACAAAAGTGAAACACTAAAGACACTGAAGAAGGGGAAAAATTAGAGATACTGAATTTTGTTTTTACAGTTTCGTGAGAAACAAAAGTGAAACACTCAAGAAAGACTAAAAACAAGACGTATGAGTGGAAAAACCATAAAAGCTTATTTAAACAGTATCTTCCCTAACCAATTGACTAGAAACTTCAGCTCCATTGTTTTGCTACATGTTCTCGGGAATCAAACGGAACAAAAAATAGCTGAGCTAAGAATTAATAACCGGTCCAGAATTTCAGTTAAGATTCTACTAAGAATTTAAGTTCCATCCTATAATTTACTCGAAACCAAACAAAGAGGAAACTGAAAGATATGAATCTAAAGAAAGTAAAACTAACAAATCATTCAGCAATAAGAGTGAAGAAAATCATTAAAATCCACGAGGAAACTTAATAAATAAATATACTCCACAGTTTGAAGTTATAAATATCCAAAATTATTACATAAAACAAAAACGTCGGCCGTCGCATTTATATAAAGCGAAAAAAGAAAAAATTAAATTACCGGATCGCTAGCGACGATACGAGCCATTCGATCGGAAAGTTCATAGTTTCGACGAGAACCCGCCCAAACGATCTTCATCTCTTCCAAATTGAACTCCGCCTTGCGCCTCTCTTCCGCGTGGTAATCTAGTGCCTCCATTTTCTTCTTCTCAATCCACAATTCAAATTTCAAAAAAAAATGCCAGAGAATTTCGTATTCTGATATCGCTAACGGCCAACTGGAAAAACAAACCCCAAAAAAACAATGCAAAAGAAAAAAAAAAGAACCGGGTAAGCGAAAAAGGAACGACCAAACTGAATATAAATAACCTGACAGGTCTGAGCTCGGTTAGGCTGCACTGCAAGGATAAAGAAGCGGCTGGTTTGATTTTAGTTAAATTTAGTTAATGTTGACGTTGCACCATTCTTTTTTATTAATATTATTTATTAAATAAATTTAAAAAAAACACACACACACACACAAACTGAAAACGCACGTGAAAAACTGCAAGTGAATGTCTTTATGTATCCAAATAAAAATAAAAGTGTAATTCTAACCGATAATAGTGTTAGAATTGGATAGAATTTAGATTATCCATTTTTATTAGGTAAATTACATAATAATTTAATTATGAGTCTAATATCAAATATGCTATCTTTTAATTGTAATTATTTTATTTAATTAAAATATTATTATAAATAAATCATTGTGTAATTATGTTATTTAATTACAATATTAATATAAGTGAATCATTGTGTTGCCAAATCTTAGATATAAGAATAATATGATCTGATATAATAATAATTCAAATTTTATAATTAATATTATAATTATTTATTTTAATTTAAATTTAAAATAACTTAATAAATTTTATTATTTTAATCTTTATTCTTCTCCTAAATCATTTTTCTTCTCCCATAATTGTTAAATTATTTTCATGGTATATAATAATTTAAAAGTAATTTATTGATGCTTTATGATATGATATAACAAATTAACTACAGCTTTAATTCAACGAGTATTTGATTTGATATTATCATAAAAATTAAATTAATAAAAAGTTTAAATATAAATGACTAAATTTATTAAACTATTTTAATTAGAATTAAATTGATAAAATGTATAAATTTTAGAAATTAAAAATATTGTTATACTAGATTAATTAGTTATCTATTTTAATTTTAACAACGTAGTGAAATATTCATAATAATATTTTAATTAGTAATATATTTATATATATTTTTTAAAATAACATGCTTATTATCAAACTTATAATTAAATGATATAAGTGTAATTTATTGATTTTTACTTAATTATCAATTAATTAACAGTTAATAAAAAAAGTAAAATATTAGTAAAAAAAGTTATAGAATATTTTAAATGTTTTACTATTTATTTTACTTTAATTTAATCTGTCAATTTTTCTTATTTAATTGTTAGATTCGATACGGTTATAACTTCTAACAACCATGCTAATGAGTACCAACTTCATATCTACTTAATAAAATCTAGGGTAAACTACATGTTTACTAACTAAATTATCATTCTTGTTTCACTTTAGTATCTAAATTTTCATTTTCTTTTAAAACCATACTTAACGTTTACTTTATGTTTCATTTTAGTACCTCTATGTTAAAAACTTAATGAAACTGAAATTTTTATGAGTAAATTACATTATGCATCACTCAATTATCTTCTTACTCCTATTTTGATCATTGAAGTTATTTTTTAATTTAATCGCTTAACTTTCAAATTATTCATATTTTAATCACACTAACTTATTTTATTAATATTTTTATGACGTGACATCTTTTAATTATTGTTTTATTAAAATATAATTAAAATAAAAGAAATAGACGAATTGGAGAGTCCGATAAGATTGAGGCAGTAAGGGCGGGGTGAGTAGTTTGTGATATAATTTTGGAAAAAGTACACAAATGATCCTCCGACTATTAGGTACTTCTTTATTAAGCCCCTTAACTATTAAAAGTTATAGAAAAATTCTTCGACCATAGAGTGTTGCTTTGTTAAGTCCTGTAAAAATTACAAAATGGCTACCCGACTATTCATATGTTCCAAACTCGTCATTTATTGTTAAAAATTTGACAACATGATGACTAGGATATGATAGTCATTTAAGATTCAAGGATTAGTTTTGACATATAGCAATTAGCAAGTTAACATTCATCTTAGGACGACGTTAATTTTTTAACAGAAATGGATAAGTTTAGAACATATGAATAGTCGGTGACTATTTTGTAACTTTCAATAGTCGATGGACTCAACAAAACAATGTATTATAATCAAAGGACTATTTGTAACTTTTAATAGTCGAGAGACTCAACAAAGCATCACCTTATAGTTGGGGGACCATTTGTATACTTTACCCTCTAATTTTTGGATTTGGATATAATTTTATTTTATTTTTACTTTTATTATATATTAGTAAAATAATAATAATAAATATCATGTCACATAAATATTAATAAAATAAATTAAAGGGATTAAAACAATAGTAATTTAAAAGTTAAGTAGTTAAATTGAAAAAATTTAAACTTTAATAACTAAAATAAGAGTGAGAAGATAGTTGAGTAATGAATGTTGCAATTTACTCATAAAAAAATGCTACCCGCTTGAGTTTATCAAACAAAAAAATAAACATCATGAATGATTTAGAAAATAAAAAATTATGTGCTAGAACATATCAAAAGAGATATTTTATGTATAAAATATTCGATTTACCCTAAAATCTAAATAGTGTTCAATCAAATTTTCATTTCCAATTTTTCAATAAAATATGAGTTCCCCCTTTCTTAACTAAAGCGGTTCCTTCCGACCTCTATTACCGAATAGTCTTAATATCAAAATAATTGCTTAAATTATATCATTTATCTCAAATAGATGTCTAAACTATTTTTTATTTCAGTTTCTAACGTTACAAACGTTATCATTTTAGGTTTTTGGATCATCAACGAAGTTAATTTTCTCGTTAAATTACACGTGTCATAATCTTAGAATTTTAAAATTCTTATTTTTCTTTTAAAATAAAAATATTATTAGTTTTTTTATAAAAAAACTTTCACCTACCCGTGCGCCCCTCTTCTCCTCCCTTTGCTCCCTCCTTCCATGGCCAAACGCCAAACGACCGACCAAATGATTGAATGTCATAGTCGGCTAAACCACTTATTATCACGATCAAATTTGAGGGATTGACTATTTCAGATTTTAGAAATTTGAGAATTTTGAGTTTTGAGATGATAGTAAGGGTTGTGACCGGTCATTGGGTGAACGACAACATATGAGTTGTCGGTCGTCGACGAATGCCTTACTGGAGATGGCCGACAGTTGGAGTAAATGAGACTATAATAAGAGATTTAATATTTTGGTGTTTTTTGACATTTTAGAAAAAATGGCTTTTTTTGAAATTGAAATATTTTTCATTTAAAAAAATCCAAAATTACCAGAACATGTCACTTAACGTGTGAAATTAATGTTGTTAACAATTCAAACACCTAAAATGGTAACATTTGTAACATTAGGCACCGAGATAAGTCAAAAAAATAATTTAGACATATTCAAAAAAAGCGATATAGTTTATACACTTATTTTGGTATTAAGCCTACCAAATAATCTATCATTTAATTTAGTTTCTAAATAGTTTTAATTTTATATATTTTAAAATTATTGTATAAGTATGATTGGTAGTTGAAATCATTTTTTTCGTTGTTAATTTTAGTAGCTTATTTTATTTTATTCAATAATCTAAAAAATATATCAAATTAAAAAGTTTTATCCAATATAAACATAAACATAAATATAAATAGATCCTCTATTTTTAAAAAAATATTAATTTATTAGTTTTATTTTAAAATATTCAAAATTAAAATTTCGTGACAAGATTAAATTTAATAAAAAAAATATCTGCAAATTTTAATTAAATGATATTAATATAATACCCCAATTTTGGCTAATGACTAAAATGTAATTTTTGAAAGTTTTGTGGCCAAGGTATAAATTTTGAAAAGTTCAGAAACCAAAAATGTATTTTCAAGAGTTATATATTTTGGTCCGTAAATAAATAGTTTGTTCCGAAATAATTGTTTTCGTGGAAATCAAAATTTTGATTCGAGATTTATATTAAAAGTTACAAAGCAATAAAGTCCAATAAGAAATTGATTAATCGAATAAAAAAGAAATTTCAAGAAAATTTGAAGGATGTCAGATAAAGGTTTGAAATATTATTTCTATATTTTAGAACATTGAAATTTAAGATGGATCGGTAGAATTGAAGTCAATTTACCATATTTAGATGATATTGGGAATCTTGGTGACTAAAGTAAAATTTTTGAAAATATCATGGACAAAGTGAAAAGTCAATTTTAAATTGGTTCATCTTTGACCATGAATATTTTAATGAAAAAATATTATCAATGGCATTTGGTAATCATCATATTTTATTAAGGGTAAAATTGAAATTTCTCATTAATTGAATTTAAAATTAAATTAAATTAAAATGTGACAAGCGTTTTAGTTAATAATTACCAAGGAAATTGGCTGAAAAATTAGTCCCTTCTTGCTACTGCTGCTAAGAGTTTCCATAGCTAAATGGGTAAGATTTTCAAATTGATTTTTAAGATTATTCGATTGATTTTTGGGTTAAGTTATTAGATAGAGAATTAATCTATTTGCAATTCTCTATCAATTGGTATAAATAGCTCATGGAAACATTCTTAAATGATGAATATCATGATTTGGTTGGATGAAGAACAAGTTTGATTTTGGTGATTTAAAGCTTGATTTTTATGTTATTAAGGTTGTTGACTAATTTCCAAGCTTATGTGGTGAATAAAATTGATTGATATATATATATATATATAAGATTTGGCCAAACTAGGGTTTGGTGGAGGTTGGTTGAATTTTGATTTATTTTGATGTTAATATGATTATAATAACATGAATTTAATGATTAGGAGATTGAATTCATGCTTGAAATTGAATGAAAATCAAGTCCTTGTGCATTAAGGGTATTTGGCCATAAAGGAAAAATTAGGGGAAAATGTTGAAAAATTTCCTATGCTCTAAAATTGATATTAGATGAATTCTACATACTTTGGAAATTGAATTGGATCAATTTGGGATATTGAGATAGAAAAAAAGGTTATTTTGCAAGCATTGAGAATTATGGAACATTATAGCAAGAATGTTACATTTGGGGTGTTTATTGTGGAATTTTAATATTGAAATGCTGAAA